AAACACAAATATGCTCGCACTGGTGCTCCTAAATATTTTTTCATAGTCGCACGCAGTAGTTTTCAGTCGCAAAAGTCGCACTGTAGAGCCCTGCGTTTAAAGCACCAACTTGAAGACAATTTTGGTGTCACAGATAGCAGCAGAAATATCAGCCTTTTTCTTCGAAAAGCTTGTTTAAATTTAAGGAATCGCAGTGTTCTTCATGGAAACGAGGAAATGAGGTATATTTCCATGTTTTCTGAATGGGTTAAAACTACCGTGTTCCTAAACAAGACCTACTTTGCCTGATGACTCTCACTCAATCCAGAAATAGACTTTTTACCAGGTATCACGTTTCTTTGCTTTGTTCCAAAACTCAGTTGTAAACAAAAAGCTCTTGCCAAGCATTATTCCATATAAAACAGGTCACAGAAACAAAGAGCTGCTCAGGGATTGAGGGAAACAGCAAACACTGCCATTAATCCTCCAAGGACAAAATCAGTGGTTTGTGAAACTAATGACTAGCACTAAAGACTTCTGTTCCTACTTCTATGATGCTTTTTGACATTTAGGGACAAAAAAAAAAAAAAAATCTACTTACTTGCCAGCCACATGTGCATTCTCGATAAAAGCAAGTGCTGCCTCCAGCCCTTTGAGTTGAGCTATGGCATTTGAATCCGTTACAAATTTCTTGATAAGTCCAAGGTATTTGCCCCATTCTGGGCTCTTCTCGTCTTTTATCCTCTGGAAGAGCTTCAACGCTTCCTCGTATCCATTTAATCTCGCTTTCCAAATCTAAGGGAAACAAGAAGATCAATCATGACAACGAACAACTGAATAAATGAGCTCGTGACTTGATGAAGTGACCCACTTTCTTCAGGAGCTGATACGTTTAACAACCATTATTCATAATACAGGACACATGAACTCAAGGACACTATGTATATGAAATGCTTTATTTCCTGAGTGGTAATGTGCTGTATATGCAAAAACTCAGGTTGATAAAACAAAAGTACCAGATATTAAACTGAATTTATCAAGAAACTCGAGCAAACGTTGTGTTGCTCTTAATGTGGTGTGACCAATCGATGTAGCAATTAAATAATCCGCAATTTAAGAATCTGTCAGAATGAACTAAATGATTCAAACAGGAGCACTGCTCACTACCATCTCCCCCTGATTGTCCCGCCTCTTTACAACAAGTTCCAGCAAGAATAAAAATGAATGAACATCAGAGGGTATGTTGAAAGAAGCAACGCAACTGGCTGAAATCCATCATGCAATCGTCCAATCAGTTTAAACTGTGGGAAGATGTCACATGTAAACAACCTGTCACCTAACATGACATTCACCTCAGTAAAGTTCTCAAGTAACTAGTTAGTTAGAAAAATTAACTCTAGAGAAAACATATCACTACATTTATATTATTTATATTATTATTATTATATTATTATTTTCATGTCAAAAAGTTTGGGTTTAGTACATTTAAAAAAATAAATTAACACTTATCAAGGATACATTAAATTGATGACAAAGTGACAGTAAAGACATTTCTAATTTTACAAAATATTTCCATTTCAAATAAATTCTGACCTTTGAACTTTCCATTCAAAGAATCCTGATAAAATATCAAAACAAAAATATTAAGCATAACTTCAACATTGACAAGAAATGTTTCTTGAGCAGCAAATCAGCATATTAGATTGATTTCTGAAGAATCATGTGACACTGAAGACGGAGTAATGTCTCCTGAAACTTTAGCTTTACCATTACAGGAATAAGTAACCTTTTAAAATTTTAACATTATTAAACAGTTACAATTTTAAATTGTAATATTTCACAATGTTACTGTTTTACTGTATTTTTGAACAAATGCAGGCTTGGTGAGTATAAGAGACTTATTTTAACAACATTACTTTTGAACAACGTGTATTATACTACATTTAAAATCAAATTCTATCAAATAAACATCTAAAAATGATTTTATAGCATCCAAGATTTGCAGTGGCTTTGAGCAAAAAACAACAACATATGATTGAAAACCGACACTTAGTTTTTTTATTTTTAAAACTCAAAATGCATTTTTGGGTGCAAGTGACGCAAAATGACTTAACATGACAACCATATAGCAAGGTGGTTGTTCACTTGTAAATGAGATTGCTGACAACAGGGGTGTTATTTCCATAAAGACGTTGCTTGATTTTAATTCAGTGCTTTGCATGCATTCATCTCTAAAGGCAACAATTAGGGTGAGCCATCCGCTGACTGTTTAGCTCTACAACCACAAGTTGGTCGTCTTACACCATCAGGAGATTTTGGATGGGCCAAAATATAAAAGTAGCCGGGATCACTCACCTTGTGTTCACATTTCTGGTCCATGGGTAACTTCATCCATTCACTGTCGTCCCCCATGGCTATTTTCTGTCTGTCTTATCTATTCAGCTAAACAAAAGAAGGGGAAACTTTGGTTGCTCGCACAGCATACAAAGCAGAACAAGCAAGTCTACCATACCAACTTTTACACTTCACAGCATTCGCCACTAAATATGTAAAGGTTACAGTTTAAGACACATAACAAACAAACAAACACCACATAACAAAATTCAGCAGTTTAGAGTTAAATGTTAATTAGACATGTTTGAGCTCATCTGATGCATGCAACAAACATCTCAACCATCTAAAGTATTAAAAACAAATGTAATTAAGATGGCAAGGGGAACTTGACCAGCTTGTCACAATAACTTTGCAAGATCATCATCCTCATGCATTTCAACAACAACAGCAACACCCTCCAGCCAGACAGAAGAAATGCCTTGATTCACTTCACAGCAAATGCACACATCATCCAGATCTGCAGCCAAAGCAGAACAACATCCACTAATGCATCTCCCAGAAGAGGCTAGTTTCATATTACATATCGATCCGAGCCGAAAAGTAACTCCTTAAACACAAAAGGCCAGGCTTTAAGTGAGGAAAACACCATTTAAAACCATATTTGCCCAAAAAACGTGTAGAAGAATGATGCGTGCAGAAACCGCCGCCAATTCAGCCCGCCCAAAACAAACAGAAAAGAGCAAATAAGGAGTGTTCGTCGCAATACCAAACGATTAAATTACTTGGCAGCTGAAATAATTATAGATTAAGTAGTTTGAGGGTTTTAAAACCGTTAGTGTTTTGTAGCGCATCACATGTGAGAACACTCTCGGGGTGCAGCAGAGCCGTTAGTGACCCGCAGCTGCTGTCGCTCGGGCCAGGGCTTTTTGCAGTATAAGACGTTTAAATACGTTCCTACTTCAATCAGGACACAGCAAATCTACTCCTTACAGCTTTCTAAAACCATTTCCGTGTATGGTTTGTTTAGCTTCGAAGTGTAAATATGGTTCAATTTAAATATACCGGTTAGCTGTTAGCACATACGCGGCCCTGGCTGACTGTCTGTTAGTCCTGCAACAGCTTAAACCATCATGAGATTCAAACAATATCGCCATTTTCACAGAGTTCCCCAACAAACACAACGCTGGAAATGTCAAAACTGACCCTTGCGATCTCACCTAACCTGATACGTGACGAAAAAAAATAAAAAAACCCGACTCACTATTGTTTGCCACATATATAAAAGCGGCTTCAGTCCGTCACTAAAACTGAGGCCCTCAAATAAAACGCAGCAACCTACAACGAGGCAGAAAACGGTTAAAACAGCTTTCGCCTAATAATCTCCGATCTCTCCCGATCACAAGTAAATATATCAATTTTAGTTACCTGCTTTCAGAGAGGGAAGACAGGGCGATCTTCATCAGCTGGGACCGATATTTGGTCATTACTCTTCAGTCTCCAGGCTTTGAAACGCCTCCGAGGGCGGGGAGGCAGGAGGAGGAGACGCCTAGCTTTCATTCAAACCACCACCTCGTCTGTTATAGGCTGTATAGAGACAGAGCGACACGCGTCATAATCTGAAAACCACGCCCACCTGGAGGGAAACGTAATATATTAAAACGCGACAAGACCATTCATCATTTTTAACTATGTCAAAGGATTATTTAACCACCCTATGTGAATCTGAGGGGAGGACGAAGGAGATATATTAAGAAAATACATTTTATTGGTCTATGTCAGTGCCCCTTTTCCTAACCTTCCTTTTGTTTGAGAAATTATCCAACTGAACGGCCCAAACGTGAAATACCCGGACATCTACAACTATTTGTGTCCTAAACGCTCGTTTTTTGGGTCGACAGCTAATAAAAACGTAGTTCTGGGTACACCTTGTCACATAGCAGCTTTTAGGCATGGCTCTGTTTTGTTTTGTTTTTTGTTAAAAATCAGAAATGACAAGGAGGCACCTTCCCGCAATAGAAAGTCAATGGAGAGCGTTGGATTGTTGGAACAAAACAAAACAACTAATATAAATTAATAATTAATAGTAATAAATAATTAATAATAATTAGCATTATATATATATAT